TTATCTTTAAACAATCTCAGCAATTCTCGTTCCATAAATTTAGCCTGTATCATTCTGTACCTCCTCTTTTCCTCCCCAAGTAAAGCTGTACATACACAAACACGCACACGCACACAAACACGCGCGCACACACACACACACACACACACACACACACACACACACACACACCTACATACATACACCTCTATAACTTTTCAGTTTTTGGCCATAATGATTTCCTTTTGAATAGATTATAGCTTTGAAATGTTCTTCTGCTCTTTATAATTCACTGTCATAATGGTGTTTTGAAATGTGAAAGTATGAAGGCGGGTGGTTGGCGGGTGCTCTGGTGTGGTTTGCTCTTTTTGTACCTCAAATAAAGTACACTCCCAAACCTCAAGTGGTGGGTGGTTGGCGGGTGCTCTGGTGCGGTTTGCTCCTTCTTTTCTATCAAACATCTATCGCCCTTATCTCCCCTCTTTCTTTTTTATGTTTGTTACTCTCTTGTAACACCTCTAGTCTTCTGGCGCTCATATGACCTTATGCAGTTGCGAGTGCAGTAAAACTCTTACTAAAACTAAAACTAGACTAAAAACCTCAAGTCTTCAGAGACAAACAAAATGTGGATATGTGTTTTTCATTCTCTCAAGCAATTGATCAAAAGTTAGGAAAGTGGGTGGTTGCGAGTGGTCTGGTGTGGTTTTTTCCTTCTTTCCTGTCAAACACCAATTGTCCTTGTCTCTCCCCTTTTTGTGTTTGTCACTGACCCTCTTCTAACATGTCGAATTTTTGGCACTTGTAGGGCCTGTTTTTGTTTCACGTACTGTAAAAATCTTACTAAAAATTAAAGTAAAGTTGGGGAAATTCTGAATTTTTACTGCTGTGTTTATAATATTTCCTCCCACACAGCTTTTGGCTGCCATGTTAGTGAGAGATTTTGTTTTCTTTTTCTTTTGTACAACCTTTCTCTGATATAAGATAGCTGAATATATGTGTGGGTGGTTGGTGGGTGCTCTGGTGTGGTTTGCTTCTTCTTTCCTATCTAATGTCTATCGTTCTTTTCTCCCCTTCTTCTTTTTTATGTTTGCTACTCTCTTGTAACACCTCTAATCTTCTGGCGCTCATATGACCTTTTGCAGTTACGAGCGCCGTAAAACCTCTTCTACCTCCCGGGGCAGTGCCACTGACTGAAGTGTCTTTAGGCCATTCCCAAAGGGGGGACATTTCTCGTTCAAGCATAGTAGAATTG